TTTTTTTTTTTTTTTTTTTTTTTTTTTTTTTTACTATTAGAAATTACACTTGACGTTTTAAATTACGAAATCTAATCGTTTCCCCTTCAAACGCCCTTTTTCTTTTCTTTTTACCTTTCTTTCTTCCTCCCTCCCTTTCTCTCTCGCTCCCTCCCTCCCTTCCTCCCACCCTCCCTTTTTCTCTCTCTCTTTTTTCTTTCGTCTCTTTACTCAAGAATCTGGAATCGGTGTAATATCGTTTCTTATTCACGTTATCATTTGGTTTCATTTCTATATAAATATATATATATATATATTTTTTTTTATATCTTCTACAAAAAAATGAATCTTTAGTAGACACACTTTACTGAAACGCATCGAACAATGCGCGTATCTTAACGTCTTTTCTTGCGATCAATCTTATTTTTATCGATTCGATCGATCCGTGAAACCGAGTACGACACGCATAGACAGTTAGAAATAAAGAGAGAGAGAAAAAATATATACGAGTGAATGAACAAATGTGTGTGTGTGTGCATGTGTGTGTGGGCGAGTGTGCGCGCGCGCGCGCATGTGCGCGTATGCGGTGTGTGTATGCTCGTGTGTCACTGGTATAAATGAAAATGAAACGGAATGAAAGAGTATGAAAAGTCGATAAGTGGTCAACCTACGTTGTTAGCTGAATATGATTTTTATAGAAATGTATTTATATAGATAAAAACTACATCGTTATATTGCATAAAAAAAAAAAGAAAAAAAAAAAAAGAGAAATTTGCACGTCTAGTGTAAAAATTTTGTTCACTCGTGATACACGTTTTAACCGAATGCGCTTTGAAACCGATGCGAATTATCTTTGTATCGTTTTTTTCCCCCCTCCTCTCCCTATCCCCCTCCCCCCCCTGATATAGCGTCAGTAATGTTTTATTAGATTATAAAAAAAAATTATAAAAATTAAAGTTTCGTAGCAGTCGAGCATTCGATACTTTTTTTTCCTTATTATTAATCATAATAAACATAGAATCGAATAGCGAGAAGAAAAGACGTTGGAATCGATGATACGACCAGTTGAAAATAGCATGTTACGAGCGACAACTCACTTTAACGTCTATATTATTCAATAACGCATAACGCGTATCAGATGTAGGTAGATTTTTGAATACAGCGATATAGCGGTATTACTTTTCATAGACAAAAAAAAAAAAAAAAAAAAAAAAATGTTTGAACAAAGGAAAGGACGAAACAATATTATAAATCGTAGTATATGCTGTTTCTTAATTTTCCACTTTTCTTTTTTATGCGTATCGGACAAAATAATCCAGCATTGTTTTTTTTGATGAATAAAGTACGATTGGTTTGAAGCTAGATAAAAAATTTCAGACGATTCGTTTAACTACAACAAGAACATAGATCGATATAAATTAACAAAATCGTAAATAAATAAATAATACTAATAATTAAAATTATTGCAAAATACATTAACGCAGCGATTTACAAAATAAGGATTTATTAAAAATCGATGTATCTACATCGTATCGTAAAGTAACTTGTCCAGCAAGTAGCAATTAATTACACGACTATCCATAAATTTATACATTTTCAAGATACATTCAATAATATCGACATTTAAAAGTCGTCTAATTAATAATAAATATATGTTAGCTTAACGTTGTTAATTCTTACATTAGATCACAGTCTTCGATTGAGTTTCACACTGTTCGCTGTTTTTCTTTGCTGACTGTTTCATACGATAAAAAATAACAGAAATTACAAATGGAAGCATATTTTCGAATCGCATTGCCAACATTGCCACATGATTAATTCTTTAAAATGGATTCATGCATTTTATGAATTGTAAAAAAAAAAAAGGGAAAGATACATTATCTATCTTAAATATGAGAATAAAACGTATGCAATCGTACGGAAGTGGAAACGTATTTTGATCTTCTAAAAACGGGTCGTACAT